TCTGTCATTCTCTGTATACCTGTCCTCGCCTGTTCTAAGTTTCAATACCTGTTCTTTCACTGTTGCTTTCCTTCTGATGTGACTGAGGAGTAGCTTTGGTTCGGTCTTGGCTTTGTTTGCTATATCATTTTCAAAATTTTTCTCTGCTTCTCTTCTCACCCTGACGTACTCATTCCTGGTTCTCTGGTATCTCTCTCTGCTTTCTGGTGTTCTGTTATTCCGGAAGTTCCTCCACGCCTTTTTGTTCAGTTTCTTCGCTTCCATACATGCCTTATTATACCATGGATTCTTCTGTTGCTTCTCGGATTTTTTCCTTTGGGCCGGGATGAACCTGTTTACTGCCTCCTGTGTATTCACCTAATTGTACTCACCTAATTGTGCTTGCGGGGGTTGAGATCTGGCTCTTTGGTCCCGCCTCTCAACCGTCAATCAACTGGTGTACAGATTCCTGAGCCTATTGGGCTCTATCATATCTACATTTGAAACTGTGTATGGAGTCAGCCTCCACCACATCACTTCCTAGTGCATTCCATTTACTAACTACTCTGACACTGAAAAAGTTCTTTCTAACGTCTCTGTGGCTCATTTGGGTACTCAGCTTCCACCTGTGTCCCCTTGTTCGCGTCCCACCAGTGTTGAATAGTTCATCCTTGTTTACCCGGTCGATTCCCCTGAGTATTTGTAGGTTGTGATCATGTCCCCCCTTACTCTTCTGTCTTCCAGTGTCGTAAGGTGCATTTCCCGCAGCCTTTCCTCATAACTCATGCCTCTTAGTTCTGGGACTAGTCTAGTAGCATACCTTTGGACTTTTTCCAGCTTCGTCTTGTGCTTGACAAGGTACGGGCTCCATGCTGGGGCCGCATACTCCAGGATTGGTCTTACATATGTGGTGTACAAGATTCTGAATGATTCCTTACACAGGTTCCTGAACGCCGTTCTGATGTTAGCCAGCCTCGCATATGCCGCAGACGTTATTCTCTTTATGTGGGCTTCAGGAGACAGGTTTGGTGTGATATCAACTCCTAGATCTTTCTCTCTGTCTGTTTCATTAAGTACTTCATCTCCTATTCTGTATCCTGTGCCTGGCCTCCTGTTTCCACTGCCTAGTTTCATTACTTTGCATTTACTCGGGTTGAACTTCAACAGCCATTTGTTGGACCATTCACTCAGTCTATCCAGGTCATCTTGTAGCCTCCTACTATCATCCTCTGTTTCAATCCTCCTCATAATTTTTGCATCGTCGGCAAACATTGAGAGGAACGAATCTATACCCTCTGGGAGATCATTTACATATACCAGAAACAGTATAGGTCCAAGGACTGACCCCTGCGGGACTCCACTTGTGACGTCTCGCCAATCTGAGACCTCACCCCTCACACAGACTCGTTGTCTCCTGTTGCTTAGGTACTCCTCTATCCACCGGAGTACCTTCCCTCTCACTCCAGCCTGCATCTCCAACTTTCGCACTAGCCTCTTGTGTGGCACTGTATCAAAGGCTTTCTGACAATCCAAAAATATGCAGTCAGCCCACCCTTCTCTTTCTTGCCTTATTTTTGTTGCCTGGTCGTAGAATTCAAGTAACCCTGTGAGGCAGGACCTGCCATCCCTGAACCCATGTTGATGCTGTGTTACAAAGTTCCTTCGCTCCAGATGCTCCACTAGTTTTTTTCGCACAATCTTCTCCATCAGCTCTGTGTGTGTGTGTGTGTGTGTGTGTGTGTGTGTGTGTGTGTGTGTGTGTGTGTGTGTGTGTGTGTGTGTGTGTGTGTGTATACTCACCTAGTTGTGTTTGCGGGGCTTGATGTCTGGCTCTTTGGTCCCACCTCTCAACCGTCAATCAACAGGTGTACAGGTTCCTGAGCCTATTGGGCTCTATCATATCTACACTTAAAACTGTGTATGGAGTCAGCCTCCACCACATCACTTCCTAATGCATTCCATTTGTCAACCACTCTGACACTAAAAAAGTTCTTTCTAATATCTCTGTGGCTCATTTGGGCACTCAGTTTCCACCTGTGTCCCCTTGTGTTAAATAGCTTGTCTTTATCTACCCTATCAATTCCCTTCAGAATCTTGAATGTGGTGATCACGTCCTCCCTAACTCTTCTATCTTCCAGTGAAGTGAGGTTTAATTCCCATAGTCTCTCCTCGTAGCTCATACCTCTCAGCTCGGGTACTAGTCTGGTGGCAAACCTTTGAATCTTTTCCAGTTTTGTCTTATCCTTGACTAGATATGGACTCCATGCTGGGACTGCATACTCTAGGATTGGCCTGACATATGTGGTATACAAAGTTCTGAATGATTCTTTACACAAGTTTCTGAATGCCATTAGTATGTTGGCCAGCCTACCATATGCCGCTGATGTTATCCTCTTGATATGGGCTACAGGAGACAGGTCTGGCGTGATATCATCCCCCAAGTCTTTTTCTTTCTCTGACTCCTGAAGAATTTCCTCTCCGAGATGATACGTTGTATCAGGCCTCCTGCTCCCTACTCCAATCTTCATTACATTACATTTGGTTGGGTTAAACTCTAACAACTATTTGTTCGACCATTCCTTCAGCTTGTCTAGATGTTCTTGATGCCTCAAACAGTCCTCTTCTGTCTTAATCCTTCTCATAATTTTGGCATCGTCCGCAAACATTGAGAGAAATGAATCTATACCCTCCGGGAGATCATTTACATATATCAGAAACAAGAAAGGACCGAGTACAGAGGCCTGTTGGACTCCACTGGTGACTTCACGCCAATCGGAGCTCTCACCCCGCATTGTAACTCTCTGCTTCCTATTGCTTATGTACTCCCTTATCCACTGGAGCACCTTACAACCTACACCTGCCTGTCTCCCCAGCTTATGTACCAGCGTCTTATGCAGTACTGTGTCAAAGGGTTTCCGACAATCCAAGAAACTGCAGTCCGCCCAGCCCTCTCTTTCTTGCTTAATCTTTGTCACCTGGTCATAGAATTCTATTAAACCTGTCAGGCAAGATTTACCCTCCCTGAACCCATGTTGGCGATTTGTCACGAAGTCCCTTCTCTCCAGATGTGATACCAAGTTTTTTCTGACGATCTTCTAAATCACCTTGCATGGTATACAAGTCAAGGACACTGGCCTGTAGTTCAGTGCCTCTTGCCTGTCGCCCTTTTTGTATATTGGGACCACATTCGCCGTCTTCCATATTTCCGGTTGGTCTCCCGTCTCCAGTGATCTACTATACACTATGGAGAGTGGCAAGCAAAGTGCCTCTGCACACTTTTTCAGTATCCATGGCGAAATCCTGTCTGAACCAAAAGCCTTTCTAACATCCAGATCCAGCAGGTGTCTCTTGACCTCCTCCCTCGTAATTTCGAACCCTTCCAAGGCCGCCTGGTTTATTTCCCTTTTTCCTAGCATAGTGACCTCACCTTGTTCTGTTGTGAAGACCTCCTGGAACCTCTTGTTGAGTTCTTCACACACCTCTTTGTCATTCTCTGTATACCTGTCCTTGCCTGTTCTAAGTTTCACTTCCTGTTCATTCACTGTTGCTTTCCTTCTGATGTGACTGTGGAGTAGCTTTGGTTCGGTCTTGGCTTTGTTTGCTATATCATTTTTATAACTTTTCTCTGCTTCTCTTCTCACCCTGACATACTCATTCCTGGTTCTCTGGTATCTCTCTCTGCTTTCTGGTGTTCTGTTATTCCGGAAGTTCCTCCACGCTCTTTTGTTCAGTTTCTTTGCTTCCATACATGCCCTATTATACCATGGATTCTTCTTTTGCTTCTCGGATTTTTCCTTTTGGGCCGGGATGTATCTGCTTACTGCCTCCTGACACTTTTGGGTGACATAGTCCATCATATCTTGTACAGACTTAGCTCTGAGGTCTGTGTCCCTAGGTATTTCCCTTAGGAAGCTTCTCATCTCCTCATAATTTCCCTTTCTGTATGCCAGCTTTTTGTTCCCTAGTTCTTTTTTGGGGGAGATAATTCCTAGCTCTACCAGGTACTCAAAGTTCAATACAGTGTGATCACTCATTCCCAAGGGTGCTTCCATCTTGACTTCCCTTATATCCCACTGATTTAGGGTAAATATGAAATCAAGCATTGCTGGTTCATCTTCTCCTCTGTGTGTGTGTGTGTATGTGTGTGTGTGTGTGTGTGTGTGTGTGTGTGTGTGTGTGTGTGTGTGTGTGTGTGTGTGTGTGTGTGTGTGTGTGTGTGAGTGTGTGTGTGTGTGTGTGTGTGTGTATTAAACTAGATGAGTTTGGAATTGTCATTTAATCTTTACAAGGATTCGCTGTAGCCTTAAGTAAATATCTATCATATTTTAACCAACCCCAATGTTTCAGCATTCCTATCGTGCTGTTTAACAAAATATATATTAGAGGACGTTCTTAAAGGATTCACGCTTTCAATTTGCAATATAATCTTCTCTTACTCCACTTATTGCGCAGGATATCCCGCACAAAACTTAAACTTCTCACACCTTGCGACATTGAACTTGTGTAAGATTTCTATCTCTTACCTTGTGATTTGTATAATTTGATTTAATAAATTTGCACAGTGCAGCATGATGCTGTCACGTCGCCTTCTTTCTGAAGCAATATACAGTCTGATGAATTCTACTCTGCTTTCTTTATAATATAATATTTCTCTTTATGGTATCATGGATAATAGTTGGAGATGTGGCAAATTTTAATCCCACTAATCCCATTTACAGTATTCAAAATTATTGGCTCAACTAAAACTGGCAAGTAGAAAAGAGGACAACAACATAGAATATATGACAAAAATGTTATTATCTTTTGTTTGATTTATCAAATTAAGAAGGAAACTTAACATTTCCTTTATTGTAACAATAACAAATCATTTGTCAAGTTACCTGTGGATCCGTGAATGAGCGTACTGGCCGCTCCTATTTCAAGCCAAGAACATTTAGAAGTGTTACTTATGAAATATTAGGTATTAATAAATGTTGATATTTGAGTGAAGTCTTTCGAGTGCAACACACATCCCGACTTACCACAAGAAAGTTCGTCGGAGTTATCATCGCAGTCACGTTCGCCATCACATTGCCACGTCATGGGTATGCATCTAGAACCATCCAAGCAGCTGAATTCATCCTCAGCGCATGCATCTAAGGAGAGAAACAAAATTATTGATACACACGCTTTATCCAGCAATGCGTTGTTGTGGTTCAGCAACGCATGCACGTTGCTGAACCACATCAACCCTTCCCTGTCCGTCAGTCCTCCCTACCATTTCTCCCTTCCCCATCCCCTCGTCCTCCTAACCATTTCCCATTCCCCCGTCCCCCTCGTCCTCCCAACCATTCACCCCTCCCATGTTTCCTTTTCCTCCTCACCATCCTTCACTCCCCTCGTCCTTCCCACCATCCTCCACTCCCCTCGTCCTCCCCACCATCCTCCACTCTCCTGTCCCCTCGTTCTTCCCACCATTCCCCATTCCCCTTGTCCCCTCCACAATTCCCCGCTCCTCCGTCCCCTTGTCCTCCCCAAAATTCCCCCATCCCCGTCCCCTCGTCCTCCTCACCATCCCCCATCCCCCATTCCGCGATCCCTTTGTCCTCCTCACCATTCCCCCCTCTCCTGTCCCCTCGTACTCCCCACCATCCCCCACTCCTCTCTACTCTTGTTCTCCCTACCATTGTCTCCTCATCTTCCCCACCATCCCCCAATACTGTTCCCCTTGTCCTCCCCACCATTCTTCACTCCCTCGACCTATGCGTTCCCAAATGATCTGATGTTCCCATCAGAAAAATGACAACAGCAAATGATCTGATGTTCCCATCACTGAAAAATAAGAACAGTTAAAAAAATCGAAATGAAAAAAAAAACGAAAAAATAAACAAAAACTATACTCACGAAATGAACGGTATGGTAAACAACACAGCTCAATTCCAATGTAAAGTCACACAAAATAATTAAAACAAAGTGAAATAATCAAAATCTATGAAAATTCAATTTATCAAAGCCATCAGAAACATTGAAATGGAATCGTAACATGTTTAGAATAGCATGTGTTGCTTTTATGTGCAAAAGATGGCATTGTTTTTCCCCAAAAAAATTGTTTTTACCTGTCACAGGTGTGGCATCTATATAGTAGGTATATAAAAACCCACATATATTCGAATGTAACGTTGTGTCAAAATTTCAAAGCAATCGACGAAGAGCTTTAAGAGATTACAGCGAGTGTTTCTTTTATGTGCAACAGATGGCGGTGTTTAAAAAAAAATCATATTTGGACCTGTCACAGGTGTGGCATGTATATAGTGGGTATATAAAAACATGCATGTATTTGAATGCAACGTTGTGTCAAAATTCGAAAGCAATCGATAAAGATGTTTCAGAGATTTCCCACACATGAAAACTCACATGAAAAACACAGTAAAGAAACATGTTTTTACCTGTCACAGAATAACATCTATATAGTAGGTATATCAAAACACGTTCATATGCGAATAGAACGTTGTGTAAAATTTTCAAAGCAATCGGTGAAGATCTTTCGGAGATTAGCAATTTTGAACAAACGAACATTTACATTTTTATTCATATAGATTCTATTTTATACTATAAAACCTACTTGCAGCCTTTGCAACATAATTTTTATTCGTTATAAAACTCAACATTAATTATATACACAGCTTTGCACTATAAACACCGCTCACAAAAGAAAGGGCACATAATGATAACTACTCTAGCAATGAACTTTAATGCTGGACTATTTTCTGTACTACAGAATACTTGCTGGTTGGTAAATAAGCTACTGTTGTTACCATAAAAACCATTCCTAAGGAAAAACTAGTCATAAATCCAACACCAAACAACACCAAGTAAATGTATTATTATCACAAAATTACTAAGTAACTAATGGTCAGGTTCACATCTTACTCGGTAAGCTCTCTTTTGATAAGTTGCTGACGATTGCTTTCGTTGGCCGCTGATCTTGCCAGGACGGACTTATGTCTCACACTCTGGTAAATATTATTGTACACACTGTGAGGAATCCGTCAAGTGTAACCCACCCTTATTAGCCTTAGGAGATCAGAGCTTTAATTATTTGATTTGTTACCACACGAAGGCAATCTTTTAAATTTTATAAATATGGGAATTTTTTCTTAAGTACATCTGGCACAAGGGGAAATCCATCAGTGGTTAGGATGGGTCAATGGCTCCTGGAAACCATGGCTCATTACCTGGGCCCCTCGCAGGGTAGGATATGGGTGATCCTCTGATGGCCCTCGTTTTTCCACATTTGTATTCATTGCTGCTACAGGTTCTTTGGCTCTGAATATATTCTCATTCCTTTCATGATTACGAAAGATGTTTTCGGTGCTAAGTTCGTAAATTGGCTAATAACTCACTCGTTAATCTTATAAATTCAACTAGGTCTGGGACTCGATGAAGTTGCTTTCGAATTCTTGAAAAACACATGTTTACTGCTGAGGTTTGTTCGTCATGAGCGAGAATGATATTGTTACTGAACTAGCGGATCATCAGGTCGTTAACAAGAAGGTTATGACAATGTTGTTGAATAACGAGTGGTGGAAACTCATTCGTTAAACTTATTTTTGGATTAGAGAAAAAGATTGTTAATTAGCAATTATTAGAAGGAGACTGGGAGTGACTACCGACGAGCAAAGACGTGCTTTGACACACACCAGTCAACCCGTCCTTGGACCAAGTCCATTCTATCCAGCGGTCGACCCCAAAAGGGCATTCATCAATTTTTAACATTCTGTTTATTCAAAAGAGAACTTTTTCATATAAATTAATATTATTATATATTAGCATATTGGTCATATGTAGGCACTGGTTAGGATAGGCCAGGTGTTTAGGTTCTGTTGGCAATTATTTGTAGTATGTGGGTGAAACATTTACAGCGTTGTAGTTCAAACAAAAGTCGTCAGCGAAGCACTTGTTCCGGAAGTGTTCGGACGTCACCAGTTGGTAGTCATATGTAAACCGTTTTTCATTCATAAAAAGGGGGTTTGGCGGTTGCATGGAATGGATTTTGGGTCTTTGTTTGGAGGATAGGCTGCTCCAGTTGGTGGTTGATGGCCATGTGATTTGGCTGTCCATGATTTGGTGTCTAAGAGTCCTCGTTCAACGCAGATGTAAGACAGAGGATATTTATAATGGGGACGCGTACGAATTCTTGAAAAAGACATGTTTACTGCTGAGGTTTGTTCGTCATGACCGAGAATGATATTGTTACTGAACTAGCGGATCATCAGGTCGTTAACAAGTAGATTATAACAATGTTGTTGAATAACGAGTGGCTGCGCCGGTCAATCTCAACTGAACCAGTTGGGCCCATTCCTCCTGTGGCCACTCCTTGATATTGGCTGCTTTTTCGAAGTGTTCGAAGAATCTCTCTGCCTCTTCGGGCACAAACAGGGGAATATCCTTTTCCCTAACCCTATTATCTGGTGGGTGTGATACCTGGGTGATGCTCTCTGGCAACCCACGTTCAATTCTTTGTTCAGCCAAGGTTCTATTTGCTTCTATCTGCATTTGTTTGGTCCTCTCTTTCTTTTTCCACCTGTAGTCTGGCTTTCTCTTTTTCTATCTCCAGTCTGGTTTCCTCTTTTCCACCTCCAGTCCAGTTTTCTCTTTTTCTTTCTCTTGTTCATTTTTCATCTGTAGTTCTAACTTCAACCTTTCCAGTTGGAACTGTCTCTCCTCACGCTGCATCTGGAGCTCTAGCTGCAATCTTTCCAAGCTCCTATTCCGGCTACTCCTGCTTCTGGGATGAAATAGCGGCTACTCTTACTACTCCTACTAGATCCCTGGGATCTCACTTCATCCTGCCCATCATCCTCCTTTCCCCTTTCAGCTCCTTTCTGGGCTCCTTATTCTGTCGCTTCACTCTTGGCTCTCGGCTGCCTTCGGATCTCATCTTTCATCCCAGCCACTTTAGATGCCGTCAACCTGATGTCACATTTTTCCACTATCTGTTTCAACTGATCCCTGGTGCAACCTTCGAAGTCCTCAGGCTTGCCTGACGCCACAAACGCTTGCACCATATCCATCGTGTCCTGTGAGTCTTCCCAAGAGATAGAATATACACCTGCGGGCACAAAGTCTACTTATTTCCTCAAAGGGTGTACCAATCCACTCCCGGACAGGGTATGGGTGTGTCAGTTTACTCTCCCGGATACAGGCCCCCAAATATTATTATGTGTGTTGTAGGTAGGGTGCGTACGTCCCTTCCGTATAACCAACCAAAACCCGTAGAGTGCTTGTACTTTGGTCAGATCACCTTGTACGCTTTCTGCTCTAGGAGAGGGGCTCAGCGACACACATTTAGGGTGTGTGGCTCCAACACTGTCCTTGTTGTCACGTGTACACACCCAATTCGAGCCGCTGTGACTCCGCATTCTCTCCTTGGTTGGTATGACCTCCTCAATCCCCCTTTCTTTGAACTATAATTCTGTACCACCCTGTCTACAGCTGTGGTTCTTTCTCTCCTACTTTCTGGAAAGCCTCACTAGGACATGGGCAAACACCGGGAAACTATATACATTTACTTAGACAGTGAACATGTAGAACATACATACAAGAATAATAATATGACTCCAACACTCTCTGCTATTATAGTCAGGTTGCATTTAATCCCATCAGGACTCTATCAGCTGCTTATATCAAGTGGTAGCCCAACTCCTGGCTTACCACTTATGCTACCAACCTCACTAGTGGGTTAAATCTTGTAATACAATATGGCACTATCAGCCCTGGAATATATATATATATATACACAAGGAATCCAACCAAAGGCTGCAACAACATAAACATCAATATAAAAATTCCTTGATTCAAACGTCCAATCACTCACCTTCCACTGCATCATGCATGCTAATTGTCGCAGACCTTGGCGCCATCTACAATCCTGGCGCCAAACTACAGCAGTTGACCCTCCCATTAAATAGAGTTCCCCATCTCTTAGTCTGCCCGGCTGAAAGGTAACGAGTAACCAGAGGCAGGCTAGGGAAGTAAGTGAAGCCGGGACAGTGGAAGACGTAGGTCGACCTAAAGGTGCTAGCCAATTGGGATGGACAAGTGCTGTGGACTTTACTCCCGGAAGGACTAGCCAAGTGGGCTGGTCGAGCACTGT